AGCCTCACACACTCTAGATCCAGCCACCTCTGAAAAAGCTACACCTAGGACTACACAGTGCTTTGGGGTACAGGCGCAGTACTGTATTTATGGCTTACAAAACAGTAATAACATCATGGAGTTCCGGAGGAGGTTCAGGGGACTTGGGCCAGCAGAAAAGAGGCCACACTCCCAGTCACCTGCTGTGGGGACAGCACCTGTGCACCCCCAGCCTATGTATGGACAAGGTAGAGGCTGCCTTCACATCCCCTTTAGAGGCTCATGGGGCACAAGGCTGGCGGGCCCTCCTACTCCACAGTCGGGGTCTTGGTGAAGACAGCTTGCTGACAAGCTGTGGGGTGACATGCACTGACCTTTCACCCCATCCCATCAGCCCAGCAGTGCACCCTTAGCCTCCAGCTCTACCCTGCAGCCCCCAGGGCACAGAATACAGGTCTGACTGGCCTCTGACACAGGTGACATCATTCAGCAGATGCTCAACACCTGCAACAGACTGGGGTCAGAGGTCAAGGAACAGAGATGGCTCAGCTGTGAAGATGCAGCTGCCCAGACACTGCATGGGCATCCAGGCGCACAGACTCGGGGCCCATAGGAAAGGGCACAGGGGCACGGGCACTCACACGGAGAAAGGTCTGTTTGACCTTTCAGTCCAGCTGAAGGAAATGGGGGTAGGGTATTGGAAGCCTGGAAGTCCACGCAAAGGCCCTGTGGTGGTACCAGCCAGCAGTGAGCCTGGGCAGCCACAGCCCAGGTCTGTCCCTGCTTCCTCCAGGACCGGGCTGGTGGGCACAGGCTGGGCACCCCCTAGTTGCTCTCCTGGGCTTCCTCACTCCTCTTCCCCACTGTGCAGGTCATCATAAACCTCATTGCCTTAGGATACTTGGGACGCCTCAGGGAGGACCAGGGCTCTGGCCTGTGGGTTCCACAACTCCTTCCCCCAGTCCAGATGTGAAATCCCAGTTACACCAGAACAGCTGTGGTCTGGGGGTGGGGGGATGAGGGAAGGCAACTCCTGTCAAACTGAGGCAGATATTCTAGAGGTGAGGGTATCTTGTGAAGTGTAACTTCAGGCGGAGGAGATACGTTATTGGCAGCCAGACTCAGTGCTACTGCTGAGCCTGGGCCCAGATCTGACCCCCCTCATCACACTCCTGGGGAGGTGCTGCACACCAGTATGTGGCACTGCTGTGGGAGGTGTGGCCATGGTCCAGAGAACAGGACTCAAGGCCAGTTAGGATGGCAACAAGGGCTTCTGCTTGGGCCACAGGCAGGCACCACAGGTAGGCACCACAGCTCCACCCCAAGTGAGACTGCACATGCCAGGGGTGCTGTTCCCAAGGAAGGGCCCAGTGCCAACACAGGAAGGTGACCTCCATTCCTTCCAGAGGTCACTTTGGGGCCAGTCCCTTGGCCTAGATAGGATCCCAACTCCTAGCCCTGGGCTCTGGTAGGGGATGAGAGAGTGGGTGGGGGACAGCAGTGGGGGCCAAGGGAAACACTGCGGACCACAGCCAGCCCGCAGCTCTGCAGGACCCTTCCCCAGGATGCACAGTTCCACGTGTGGCTCAGCTGGGCAGGGAAGACCCGCCTGGGACTGTCACCAGGGTAGGCCAGGACCTAGCCCGGCCTGCGCGCAAACAATCCTGAACCCTAGACTTCAGCGCTCCTCACTGATCCTGTCTGTCCCTGAAAACAACTGTAGGCCTGGGGTTAAGGTCTCTCAAACTTCCTGCTGCGGTCTCTCCCACCCCAAAATACATTCAGAAATTAGAAAAACTCAGAACACACAAGCATCAGCTGACAGCTACCCCTCCCCCCTGCACAAGGGACACCCAGTAAGAACTGATGGAACCGGTGCTCACCCCTGTGGCCAGCTCTGGTGGGCCTGGATATTCCTAAATTAAGGATGCTCTGTAACTTAATCACTGTATGAAACTGCCACAAAACTAATCTGTGTGTCAACACACTTCCATGTCTGAGTGTATCTACACAAATGCACACCTATTCCTATAAGAAGTACAAATTTCAGTGGGAAGGGCCCTAAACAGGTTAGAAGTCTCTTCTGCCATAATCCCCTTCCTGCCCTTCTTGTTTTGCATGCGCCCTCACCCCAGATGGCCTCAGCAAGCTGGAGAAGGTCACTCGCTTCCCAGAGCAGGTCTCTGTAAGGGTGGGCATGTGTCCACACTGAGCCAGACACTGGCTGGGAGACAGGCTCCAGTCCCCAGTCCTTGCATCTGTGACACAGGACCACTTGCTAAGCTGCCAGGGCTGCTGCTGAGTGACCAGAGGCAAGGACACTGGGAAATTCACTCAGATTTCTCCTGGGCACCCAGAGATCACCTGTGACACTGACACCTCAGGGCCATGATCCTGGTGCCCTAGGAGGGACCAGGCACTGTGCAGTTTGTCTCCTCTCTTCAGAGAAGTCTCCAATAGAGCATGTTGACCCTCTTGTCCCAGGGCTCAGGACCCACAGCCCTCTGGAACCCCAGCTGTGGTCCCTCTGCATTAGGTAGTGCGCGAGGCTGCACAAGGAGCTGCCCCTTGTACACCTCAAGCTCGAAACTCTACTGCCTGATGGGCACTGGGTACAGGTCAAGGACTGCCAGGCGTGTGCACCTGGGGCCTGCCAGCCAGGAGACCCAAGGGCCTCCCAGCTCCAGGATGGCCACATCCTCCCAGAGGAGAGAGGCGGGGAGGGTTCACAGTCTCATCACAGAGAGGGAGTGGTACAAGGAGGAGACACAGCCAGAGGACCACACTAGCCCAGGGCAGAGACTCTGCTTTCAGGAAGAAAACTCTCCTGCCGGGTCAGGAGGGGCAGGAACTCAGAAAAGGAAAAGCCCATTGGAGCCAGGCAGGAAGGACTCACATCATTGGTTCTATGGGAAGCAGCCCCAAACCCTGAGTGATTTAAAAAAAAAAAAAAAAAAAACAAACCCACTTCGGGGCTCTAAAATAACAGCGTAGCACATGGCTGCCAAGAATTTCAGCCGAAAGCCTGGGAGCCCAGGGCCTACCCCTAATCCACCTCTGCTTTGGCCAGGGGAAGAGATCTCACACTCTGCAGACCCAACGGCCTCCATCCCTCTGCTCAGTTCTTCTGTGTTGTTCTCTGCTCAGAGATGCTTAAGCTCCCACTCGATCTGCGGTAAATGACAGATGGCTGCCAGAGGCCAGGGTGGCCCGGCTGGCACTCATCCAAGCTACACAGCAGCCCCTCCCGGGCAAGGCGTGCAGGGTGAGCGGGTGCTGCCAGCTTATCTCCCTTGGAATTCAGGTAAGTGAGTTCCGCTGCCCTGGAGCGTTCAGTCTTAACACAGCCTGGATCCTACAGAAGTGCCAAACTCAGCCATGCTTCTCCTGAGACTGAGGCACCCACAACCTGGCTACACACTGCACACACAGATACACGGCATCACAGAAACACCTGTGTCTCCGACAGAGTCCCAAGCATGGTACAGGGGGTGTCCTGGGAGGACAGGGCACCCTTCCCACCTGCTCTGGTTAACCCCCAGATGCCGCCACCCATACCAGAAACAGGGCCTCAGCCTCAGAGGGACCTCCTGAGGAAAGAACAGCTTGGAGACATTCACCCCCAAACCTGTGACCTGAGCGCATGGGTGACCAAAGCATGTCCTCGGTTTCCACCCCAGAGCAGCTGGCAGGAGCTCATACCTGGAAGTGGGGGAAAGGGCTGGAGTGGGCAGGTGTACAGGCTGGGGTAGGACTAGGGCACACTGGGGAGACCACAGGATGGGGGTTAAAAGGCCAGCAGCATGGAGGACAACGGCTCCCATGCCTGGCCCTGTTCCAGGGGGAGCATTTGGGGGTGCTCAAGGAAGGGGAGGGGCAAATTAGGCATACAGAGATGACTGCTACAGTAACCCCTGCTCCCAGGCACAGCGAGCAGCAAGGACCCTGAGTCAGCAGGGAGGGAATCAGCCAGCAGGGAGGAAAGGAAGGACAGAAGCTCAGAGCTGAGCCCAGGGGCAGCACTGCTGGCTAGCCTGGGGCAGACACTCTCAGACAAGGGAAACCAGGGGCAGGGGTGCTTTTGGGGGCTGTCCTTCCCAACATTTAGTTCCCCTGCCTTCCCTCAGGTCACAAGCCCACCAAGGCACCTGGAAAAAGGGAGAGTCCAGCCCCACTTTAACAACTTTTGCTTCAGTGTGGTCAGATGAATGGCTACACCCATCTCCCCAGGGGCTTTCCTTGAGGAAAGCACCACTGGGTGTTCCATCAAGCAGCTCCCACAGCTCTTGGGCACGACTCTGAGGTACCATGAACCCCACACTCCAAGGGGGGGGGTGCAGAGTGGGGTGTCAACGTGGACACTCAGCACCGCAGAGACGTGTGAGTGGCTGAAGCTACAGGGACAAAGGGGCAAGTGTCCCTCCCTCCCTGACCGGGTCCTTAGCTTGGAATCCCACAGATGAACTTCAGGGAAGCCACAACCCCCTCCCACACGGGAACTAGATTGCATAAAGTTGATTCCGGTCACAGAGTCCCTGGGGACAGTCCCAGCCTGCGGTGCACTAGCAGGGGAAGCACAGGGCGAGCAGAGCTGGAAACCCCGGCCAAAGACCCCAGGCCCACACCCGCAGCCCTGGGAGGCAGAGTCGGCCTTGGGCTCCACGGCGCGAGGGAGCATTGCCGTGGCCGGGGTCAGGATCCTGGAAGGGGTTGCGGGCCATACAACCAGGAATAGGGTGCAGGCCTGGGAAGGGGATGCCGGCTATAAACCCGGGAAGGGGGTGCGGATCATACACCCTGAAATGGGGTGTGTTACCGGGAAGGGGGTGTGGGCCATAGACCTGAGTGAGGGGTGCGAGCAACAGACTGGGAATTGGGTGCGCGCCCGAGAAGGGGGTGTGGGCCACAGACCTAGGAAGGGCTGTGAGCACGGGCGCTCGCGGCTTCAGGGAGCCTGGGGCCGAGGCCGAGCTCGCGTGGGGACCCCAGGACGCTTCTGCCCGCCAATCCCGCGCACCCACCTGGAGCTTCTGCACGGCGCCAAGACGCAGCTCGTGCACAAACGGGTTCCGCCCGGGGGGCGCCAGCCGCCCCGTGTCGCCCGCCCCTGCGCTGCACGCGGGGAAGGCGCGCGGCCCGCGGCCCTGGAGCCTCATGGCGCCGCCGGGGAGGAGGAGGAAGAGGCGGGTGGGCGGCGGGAGGACCCGAACGGCCGGCGCGGGAGTAGCGGGCGGCGGGATGCTCAGCGGCTGGGATGCGCGGTACACGAGATGCGCAGGCGCAGGCGGGCTGTGGTGACGTGGGCGGGGCGGGACCCCTTGTGGGCTGGGCGTCCTGAAGCTCCGCCCCCTCTGTCCGCGCCTGCGTCGTCCGGCCAGCGGGACACGCCTTCCCCAACCCGGTTCCCTAGTGGCTGTGGAATCCGCGATCTGGATCCGGCTGTGTTAACGAGAGCCAAAGCAAGATAGTTGTATGGGCTTTTACGAATCTGAAGAACCAGGAAAGAGGGGAGAGCAGGGCGGGCCTCGGGTCCCTTCTTGCCCCGGGTCCCTGCCCCTGGCTGTCCGGAGCCCTTCCTGACCAGATCCCATGAGGATGCAGACCGGTGGCACAACAGGGCCTCCTGAGCTGGAAGCCTGGCTGGGGTGAACTTCCCCAGAACCCAAGGAGACGAGGTCGAAAAACCACCTGCAAGTATGGCAGTGATGCGGGGGGACTGTGTCCTGTCCTCTCCCTAGCTCTGCTGGTACCACCCACAGCCCTTGGGTCTCAGGAAGCTCTAGGGGCTGTGATGAACACCACACACGCGCGCTCCGGATCTGCCTCGCCTACTCGAGCCTCTGGCGTTGCTCCAGCCCGGCCCTGAGGGTGGACATCACTCCAGGGCACAAAAGCCCTTCAGTTCCTCAGGCCACAACCTCTAGCTAAGACGCAAGTGGTCCAGAGGGGACACTGGTTGCATGCCAAGGCCAGAGGGCATCCGGGTGAGAATTCCTGCAGCCCAAGTCTTGGAGGACGAAAAAGTGGGTGCAGACGCGTTAGTTGGGTTTCCCCAGTTACACCTGCCCTGCTGTGTGAGAGGTCAACTTTGTGCTGGAGATGGGTCGGAGCTGTCCAGCCTGGGGCCATCACAAGGTGTCCCCAAGAGACTCTGAAGTCCCCAGGTCCTGAGTGATGGCAATGACTAGTGTCCTTGGAGGAAATGCAGCAGAAACTGTGTGAAGATGTGGGAGGCTGAAGTTCTCTCTCCTGGCCCTCAAAGCCCCAACCTGGGACATGGCATCAGAGCCATGAGAGGACACAGCTGTGTTTGCCCCAGCTGTGTTGTTTCTTACTCAGCCTTGGAGATGAAGTCTGTGGCTCAGGGCAGGTGGGATTGGGAAAGTGCCCCCTCCTAGCATCCACTGGGACACCGAGGTCTGAGGCCCTGTGCAAGAGCTGTATACAGGGATGTGCTCTGCCAGGGTGGTGACATTTGAGACATGGAAGGGGCTATCATGAGGAAGGCATCTGTCATATTCTTAATGCCCAGAAATGGGCAGGCTGCCAGGGTTACCTGGGAAGTCAGTGCATTTCTGCTGTACTAATAAGCCCTTGGCCAATCTGCGAGGGACAGGAGCCAGATGTCTGTGCCCGGGCCTGCGAAGCCCAAGAGCAAGGCACCAGCAGGGCTTGGCTTCTGCTCCCTTGGCAGCAGCTCTGGTTCTCCCTTCCTCTCTACCTCAGGTTCTCTTTTCTGTCTTGAGGTGGGTGGGCGTGGGGCTCATGGCCTCTTTTTGGGGTCAGGCGCTGGTTATTGACTGCTGTGCTCTGTCTTCCGAGTGCAGCCTTGTCCCGGCCAAGGATGTTGGAGTGCAGACTTCTCCTTTTTCCTTCCTGCAGAGTTTAATTTACTGTTTCCCAGGTGGTTCCTTCTGTGACCCACGTGTCTAGTTTTGAGTTAATGTTTGGAGACATACAGGTGTGTTTCTGTTATGAGTTTTAATGTAATTCCTTTGTCAACACATCATGTCTGTATGAGTTCAGTCCTTCTATGATCTGTAATTATGAACATTCATGTGCATAAGATAAAAATATTGCTCTGTTTAAGGGTGTTCTACGGATGCCAGCTAGGCCCATTTGGTTGACTTCTGTTTGTTTGTTCTTTCTATCTTTATTATTTTGTAATGTAGTCTACTAATAACAGACTGTAATCCCATAACTCTGAGAGGCAGAGGCAGGAGGATCACAATCTCAAGGCCAGCTTGAGCAACTTAGTAAGACCATGTCTCAAAATATAAAATAAAAAAGGGGGTGGAGATGTAGCATAGGGTAAAGGCCCTAGGTTTAGTCACCTGTACCACAAAAACAAAAATGAGACCAATTAATTGTGGGTTTAATTGTTTTATACTCCCACCCTGTTAATTTTTGCTTCCACTAGGCCCTGAGTGGATTGTGGTGTCCACCATGTGTTCATGTGCTTGCCCACCACCCACAGATCTTCAGTGGCCTGGCCACTGAAAGTCATTCTCTCACTGAAATATTTTTGTTTTTTATTAGTGGATTCACAGAGTTTTTATATATTCTGAATATTATTCATTTATTTATTTATTTGGTACTGGGGACCAAACTCGGGACCTTGTGCTTGTCAGACAGGCTCTTAAGCCACTGAGCTATCTCCCCAGCCCTAATTCTTTTATAGTATGTGTGATTTGGAAGCGTTTTTGTACCTGGTGTGTTTCCACTCTCCTAACATGTCTCACTTTCCTTTTTCCTTCCTTTCTCTTCACCCTCCCTTTCCTTCTTTTGAAAAATACATTGATTTGAAAAACCTCAGAGCCAAGTTGTCGATTTCCACAGAAAAGCCTAATGGCATTCCTGGGGATTGTGTTGACTACACAGACAAGGAGAAAGAAGTGACATTTTAACCACTGAGTGTTTGTTGTTGTTGTTGTTTGTTTGTTTGTATTTTAGGGAAGGGTCTATAGGGTGTTCAGGGTCTCACTGCTAGATCGGCTGTTTACAGCCTCCGAAGAGCTGGGATTACAGGCGTGCGCCACGCCCAGTCTCAATTGCCGTCTCTGCATGCTCCGGGGTGGATCCTACACAGTAGGCCCAGGGATTGAGTCCCAGCCTCTGGGCCTGCTTGCAGGCACTTTAATTCACTGAGCTATTTGGCTGGCCTACCCACTGAGTGTTTTTATCAGACCTGGAGCTCAGCCCTCCATTCATCTAGGTTTTCCTTCATGTTCCACGGTGTTTTGCAGATTTCCCAGTACAGATTCTTCACTTCCGTCAGGTGTACCATAAGTGATACTTTGGGGCCAGTGTAAGTGGTCCTTTTCGTTTGTTCAGCTCTTGCCTGTATGCCATGAACACAGAAGCCACTGGAGTGCAGGGACTGAGAAAGCAGAACCCCTGCCATGAGGTCTTCATCTCTGCAGGTTGGAGTAGACTTGGAAAATCCTGTGAAATCCTGTGTGCTCCTTCACAGCCTCCCTGCCTGTGTCCTCACCATGCCATTCCTTGCCTACCCTGGCCCGACCCTTCTGGGACCCTGGCCTGGTGCATGGAAGGGGGCTGCACTGTCTGTGCGCCCCCAGGTCCATTCACTGCCTGCTCAGTCCATCTCGCCTATCATGTCCCCAGGCTCCTCTGCTGTCATTGCTTAATAGGACACAGGTCTTCTTCTGTTTTATTTGTATTTTGAGACAGGCTCTCATTAAGTTGCTAACTTGCCTAGGCTGACTTTGCACTTGCAGTCCTCCTGCCTCAGCCTTCCTTCCGGGTAGCAGGCATTACAGGTGGGTGCCAGGTACCCGGCTAGCAGACAGCTTCATTGTAGCTGAGCTGTTCTTTGAGACAGGGGTTTGTCTGGGTGATGCTGTTTTCCGCCAGGTTTCTGCATGTCCTATTGCTCTTGTTCAGAGTTAAAGGATCATAGCAGATTCCTGTTTGCAGCTCAGGGAGTCTCTGGTACAGGAATTGTGGCAGTCACAGCCACTACATTTTGGAAAGGTCACATGCAGGTGGGGTGCATGGCCCAGCTGGGGTGGGGGAGGACATATCTCCCCCCTCTTTCTCCAAGGTGGTGTCAGTGGAGCAGTCAAGGGGGGACCCTGTCACTGCTCAGGTTTTATGGGAGTTATAGGGGGGAGCTTGGGGTACCCAGGGTACCCCAAGTGTGCGGAGGAACTGGGCCCACCAGTGGCTCCAAGAGGAAGAGAGGTCAGCCATGCTCTCCCATTAGATCTTGGATGGCGGTAGCTCTTGTGAGGTGCTGGGCAGGACCCAGCTGCAGACCAGGTCACTGGGGAGACAGTATGGTCAGCCTGGTGTGTGCAGGGCGTGGATTGGCCCATCCCTGGTGCCCAGAGCAAGGAGCATCTCCTCCTTGAGCCTCTTCCTGTTGGACATCAGAGGCCCAGTCCCGTGTGTCAGACAGCCAATGCCACACCTCTGCCATGAACATGGAGACCTAGGAACTCCTGTCCCTGTGTGGTCTGAAAGGAAAACCCTCCGTGTTCCCCACCAAGGGCGTGAGGTGGCTTTGCTTGTCCTGTGTAGCCAGCTGCTCTGGGTTTCAGGTCAGTGATGCAGGCTCAGTGAGGCCCTGCTCAGAGTCCTTGTTGGGACTTCGTGGAGCCTGCACTTGTGTCTCGAAGGCTAGCTGTGGAGGGCTGGGCAAAGTGAGGGCTCTTCTGTCCTCGGGGCACTGCAGGCCCCAGTCCCCGCCACTTTCTCTTTACTCCTGGACTATGAAGACCATGTGCTCTTCTTGCCGCAGCCACAGGCCTGCCCAGCAGGGCCAGAATTATCCTTTCTGTGGGTGGTTATCTTGGGTGTTACAGTCGCAGAAAACCACAACAAGGTGCTCCGGTGTTAAACAAAGTATCACCCAGCTCATCAGAGAAGATACAGAGTGTCCGCCTGCCCAGATGTTGGCAGGCCCACGCGTAAGGATTTCTTTCCTCAAGGTGCGGTTTACTTAGTAAAAGCTGTGGCAAAATAGACTCAAGTGTTAGAGCTGCAACATCTTTGCAAATCTCTTCTTGCTTTTCTTTTCCTTTTCCTTTTTCATTATAGTTTGTGTCTAGATGTCTCCACAAAGCCTCATGCAGGCTGGGGAGATGGCTTAGTAGAATAAGCGCTTCCCTGGCAAGCGTGAGGACCTGAGTTCAATCCCTGGTTCAAAAAAAAAAAAAAAAAAGCCTCATGCAGTGATGGGGCAGCAGACTTTTAGAGTTTGTGATTCATTCATGATCCAATGCTGGGATGGCTTATTGCTGTGAGTACTGCTGG